TTTAGTAAAATCTTAATTGTCAACGAACATCCATCACCTGACAATCTGACCTTGAAGGTAGAAGCCGTTGGAATTGACAAGTGCCCAGAATTGGTGATTGGCAAAGGACTTGATGGTGAAGAAAAAGCAAACAAAAAGGAGTTTGGAGAGAGAGTATTCGAATTCTTGATAAATTTGGTATAAATTAAACTGTGATTTAATTTAACATTATCTATGATGATATATTTAAATGATAAGACATTGTGCAAGTGATGAAAACAAGAAAATTTTAAAACCATTTGTTTTTTTTTTGAGTGATCTAACTTAATAATAATAAATAAATTGTATATATGATGTATTGTAAAATTTTTTGGAATTTTATTTATATGAAATTTAATATGTAAAAAACATATTTTAACAAATATACTGTATATATATCTAAGATTTTTTAATTTAATTTATTTTTTTATAAACAAAAAAAAGTATTTTATTTTTCAATAAAACAATATTTAACAAAATGCAATTGTTTAATAATATAAAGATATAAAATTAATTAAAAAATTTTGTGCAAAAAAAAAAAATCTTTTAATTTTTAAAAAATATAAATAAGAATTTAAAAAACAATAGATATTTATAACAATATAATAATTTAAAGTATATTAAAATTTTTAAATAAAAATTTTATAAATTATATTTTGACTTTTTTAATAGTTCAGATTTAAATTCTATTAAAAATCTTTAAACTATTGTTATAAAAAATATAAAAATAAAAAAAAACTTTTTTCCACTTATCTTCACTTTATTAAAAAAATTTATTTTTAAAAAATTTTTATCTTTTCACTTTTATACTTCTTTTTCTTGACTTGAAAATCTTGTAACAAATTAAATTTGAACATGCTTTTTAATAAACTTATTAATGAAATTCTATAATATAGATTAGTCACTATTATTATAATCTCCTACACTTTACTCTGAATAAATAAATGAATACTTACTTTTACGTATTTCAAAATATCCCTTTTAAAATTACAACAAAGATTAAAAAATATATACTACTTTATTATCGATGAAAAAAGTATGGTCGGATGTAAAATGCTTGCTTTAATCAACATACGATTACATTAAGTGTTTTCCGAACACAATAATAAACCTTTCAGTGGTCAATTGGTTATTTTGTTTGGTAACTTTGGTCAGCTTCCACCAGTGCTTGATCTTCTAATGTACGCTAATAATCAGTGAGATTCGTTATCTAATAATAGTTCTATGGTATATAAACAATTTCGGGAGGTATATAAGCTTGATGTGATTCAACATCAATTTGGGGATTGTGAAGAACAAAGAAGCTTTAAAGACATTCTTCTGCGGTTGTGTGATAGGAAATCCACTTTAGCAGATTGGAAAATGCTTACCACAAGACTTGAAGATAAATTGTCAAGAACAGAACATATTCAGTTCTCAAATGCTACATTTATTTTGCCAAAGTAGTCGGATGTTGACATAGTTAATATGGATAAGCTTAGATCCTTAAATTGTCCTGTTGCAAAAATTCTTGCAGTACATACTGGTGGTTGTGAGGCCAGAAATGCTAACTCTGATATGGCAAAAGGTCTTGAAGCACAGCTGTTATTAGCCAGAGGTACACGTGTCATATTAGTAGCAAATCTGTGGATGGAATGCGGATTGGTTAATGGCTCAATAGAAACAGTCCAAGACATTCTGTTTGGAGACCAGGGACCACCTTGCCTTCCTATAGCAGTTTTCATCGCCTTTGATAATTATAAGAGTCCTACTATTACTGCTTTAGATGGTACAAAAGTCATTCTGATTACACCAATTTGACGTACCTGGGAAAGTAAAACTGGTGCATCCTGTTCATGCTTACAGATTCCTATCTATCTTGCGTGGGCTATTACCGTACATAAAAGTTAAGAACTTACTTTACAAAAAGCTATAATAGATTTTGGGAAAAAAGAATTTGCTGCTGATCTTTTGTTTGTAGCAGTGTCTCGGGTCCGCGCTCTTAAAGATATTCTATTTTGACCCTTCAATTTTGAAAGACTTCAACATATCAAGAATTGTAAAAGAATGCAAGATAGAAAGGTTAAGGAAGAACGATTAATTTCCATGTAATTGTAGTATAATAAATAAACTAAATAATAAA